GGGTTTTAATAAAAGCAGTCGTCTTACATCTCATAAAAGAAAGCACACAGGAGAGAAGCCATATAAGTGCACAGTGTGTGGAAAGAGATTTTCATATAACTTTGTCCTTAGATATCATCAACGAACCCATACTGGGGAGAAACCATATAAATGCTTGAAGTGTGGAAAAAGGTTCAGTAGATGTTCAAACCTTAGAATCCATATAAGGATTCACACAGGGGAGAAACCATATAAATGCTTGAAGTGTGGAAAAAGGTTCAGTAGATGTTCAAACCTTAGAATCCATATAAGGATTCACACAGGGGAGAAACCATATAGGTGCCTGGAGTGTGGAAAGAGCTTCCGCAAGGACAGTGACTTTATTCGCCATAAAAGGATCCACACAGGAGAAAAACCATACAAATGCCTGGAATGTGGAAAGAGCTTCCGCAAGGACAGTGACTTTATTCGCCATAAAAGGATCCACACAGGAGAAAAACCATACAAATGCCTGGAATGTGGAAAGAGCTTCCGCAAGGACAGTGACTTTATTCGCCATAAAAGGATCCACACAGGAGAAAAACCATACAAATGCCTGGAATGTGGAAAGAGCTTCCGCAAGGACAGTGACTTTATTCGCCATAAAAGGATCCACACAGGAGAAAAACCATACAAATGCACAGAGTGTGGGAAAAGCTTCAGCCAGAAAAATCACCTTTCACAACATGAAAGAATCCACACAAGAGAGAAACGATAACTTGGGAGCTTTCATCAGAAGTGTTTTCTCTTAAGGCCACCGACATGGGAAAAACAAAGTACAATGGGGCAAAAAAGTATTTAGTCAGCCACCAATTGTGCAAGTTCTCCCACTTAAAAAGATGAGAGAGGCCTGTAATTTTCATCATAGGTATACCTCAAATTTCTTTGCAAATCATCGTAGAAAATAAGTATTTGGTCAATATCAAAAGTTCATCTCAATACTTTGTTATATATCCTTTGTTGGCAATGAATGAACTTTTGATATTGACCAAATACTTATTTTCTACGATGATTTGCAAAGAAAATGAACTTTTGATATTGACCAAATACTTATTTTCTACGATGATTTGCAAAGAAAATGAACTTTTGATATTGACCAAATACTTATTTTCTACGATGATTTGCAAAGAAAATGAACTTTTGATATTGACCAAATACTTATTTTCTACGATGATTTGCAAAGAAAATGAACTTTTGATATTGACCAAATACTTATTTTCTACGATGATTTGCAAAGAAAATGAACTTTTGATATTGACCAAATACTTATTTTCTACGATGATTTGCAAAGAAAATGAACTTTTGATATTGACCAAATACTTATTTTCTACGATGATTTGCAAAGAAAATGAACTTTTGATATTGACCAAATACTTATTTTCTACGATGATTTGCAAAGAAAATGAACTTTTGATATTGACCAAATACTTATTTTCTACGATGATTTGCAAAGAAAATGAACTTTTGATATTGACCAAATACTTATTTTCTACGATGATTTGCAAAGAAAATGAACTTTTGATATTGACCAAATACTTATTTTCTACGATGATTTGCAAAGAAAGTTGAGGTATACCTATGATGAAAATTACAGGCCTCTCTCATCTTTTTAAGTGGGAGAATTTGTACAATTGGTGGCTGACTAAATACTTTTTTGCCCCACTGTATGTGGACTGTGGAGTAACAGTCATTTGGAAGAGTAGCACTATCAGACCTAAAGGAATCCATGTAGGAGAACTCTAAAAATGCCATGTGTGGGACAAGATTCAAAAGGGGCACTACCCTTATTTCCCATAAGAGGTCTCATTTTGGAAGGAATGCCTGGACTGTGGAAAAAGGTTAGGGACCAGCAATGGAATAGACTTGGTAAAGAAAAGTGTTGAATGGAATATCTGAAGGAGGAGAAAAGATTGAAAGAGCCCCAAAGAGAAATGCTGTCAAATACCATGCAGTTGCAGCGATGGTGTCAGGAATGTTCAGGCTGAAAATGAGCTAAGGTTGCCAAAGGATATTCAGAAAAAAGGCTAGTAGAAGAAAATGACCCATCAGAATAGCTGGTGCCCTGTGGATTTGGCCAAATGGAGGAAAACTAGAACTACATTTTTATTTTCCTCAGTCTTCTTCACCAAGGAAATATGAGTCCCGCCCTATGTTGTGGGACCCAATGTAGGGTCATGTATTTCCCCAGTTTAAGAGAATTCAGCTGGGATTGTTGTGTTGGAGGCCAATGGGGTTTATCAGAGAGTTAAAGTTAAGTCTCTTGAAAACAGATTGAAGCTGGTAGGAATGTTTAGCCTTGTAAAAAAATCAACTAAGAGGGATATAATAACCCTGTGAAAACATCTGATGAGTGTCCCATAGAAGAAAGGAAAGGCTTGTTCCAGATTGTCCTGCAGTGCAGAATCTGGTTGGATGTTACAAATGTTTTATGATAATAGTGGTGAAACTGCCAGTAATGAGTACCTCAGCCCACTCCTGCCCCCACCTAAATAAAAACAGGAACATATTTCCTCTTCTCCAAAAGCCGACTTTTGGCCAACTCTGTCATAGGTTTGCTACAGCCTTGTCCCTTAATTTAAGAAAATAAAAAAATTGGGACTTTTTTCCCTTTCCAATGGAGCACGCTACTGCTATATCTTTTGTCAGTAAAAGTGTAGATGAATTTCCCTCTCTCTCTTTTCCTGCAACTCCAGATAGAGGTGAGCTGCTTCAGATTAGTGTCGCGTTTTCCTCATTTTTCAAACATATAAAGATGGAACATTGAATGTGAATAGAATGAAGCCACATTTTTGGAAACTTGAAACCATAAAGCGAAGAGGGAGCACAGTGAACTAAGCGAGCAGAATTGGATCAGGTTCGGCAACTTCAAATTCAGTGATATATGAAATACTATTCAGAGCATGAGACCATCCAAAGCAGTCGGGTGGCTATGATACTCAGAAAGGACTTTGC